AGTTTAGCAAACTTACATGTTCACAAGAACAGCCTAAGAGTTTATTTCTTGCAGGCTTTTATTAAATTTATCACTTAATATAAATTAATAAATAACGTTTATTTTTCACTTTCTCACAATCTACTGAAACTGATTTTAAAATAAGTTAAACGCTAAATATTTTTTCCTTTACTATATACGTCTAATTAACAGGAAATCTCCAGATCTATGGATTATGGTGGACAGCAACACCAAAATATAGCTATGACGAACTGATTATAAGTATAAACATATTTTAAATTTCAAGCTCTTCTGTCTGGAAATAAAAATTGTTACAAAATACTATTATTTATTTATATTTATAGAATATTTCTGCTAGTCGTAGGAATGATAACTGTTATTGCTACAATAACAGACGTTTGCACTTCTCTACCAAATAACTGGAAACAAGTAGAGAAAAAAATTGTTACAAAATACTATTATTTATTTATATTTATAGAATATTTCTGCTAGTCGTAGGAATGATAACTGTTATTGCTACAATAACAGACGTTTGCACTTCTCTACCAAATAACGGGAAACAATTAGAGAAACTTCGTAGAAGTGAGTACGTTATGAATTATGTTATTTATGAATTAATAGCTGTATGTACTTATATATGTATGTAACAACTTGTCTACGGACGGTAACGTTTTAGATGCTATTGTAGAACTAGGGTGTAGATATACAGTGTGAGGGTGGAAGAAGACGAATTCTGTATATACTTTCAGATATCAGCCTAACCCTTTACCAGAAATTTAGTGACCAAACCTGTAAATTGGTGAGTCTAGGAGTAGTGACGTTAATGATGTTGAACAGCATACGTAAACTGATTTTTCCAAATATATTTTCTTATTATGTTTCAGACAACGAATGATAACAAAATGATATAATACATAATCATGTCAAGTTAATCTAATTATAACTTCTACAAGAAACGTATATACGACCCCTGTCTCCAAAATATAATTAACATTCTTAGTAGTGCATCTGAAGGACAAGAAACTAATCATGTTAAATTAATCTAATTATAACTTCTACAAGAAACGTATATACGACCCCTGTCTCCAAAATATACTTAACATTCTTAGTAGTGTATCTGAAGGACAAGAAACTAATCATGTTAAATTAATCTAATTATATCCACGAGAAACGTATATACGACCCCCTGTCTCCAAAATATACTTAACATTCTTAGTAGTGCATCTGAAGGACAAGAAATTTCTAAAGAAGTAATAGGGTGAAATATAGAATAACAGAAATATATACTGAAGATATACATATATAGTATATATATATATTTAATGAAGAATATAGAATAACAGAAATATATACTGAAGATATACATATATATAGTATATATATATATTTAATGAAGAAATCATATGTAGTAAAAACTCCATTCAGAGTTTATACAAAGAAGTGAAGGTTGAAGGTCGTGCCTTTGGCATGTCAGGAAGCTTTGTTTAGTTCAAATGTTCGCATTTTCCCCACATACAATTTAACTATCTGTAATAAAACTTACTTATTATAGATAATATATATTTTATAATTGTATAACAATTCTAAACTTTAAGAAGAAGCTATTACTTTGTTATTTTATTAAAATTTAATATAAATGATACGTCAGTGCCTTATTTTTATATAAATCATCACGATTAAGTTTTTCGATTACCTATATGCTTAGAAAACCAATTATAAGATAGTTTATAGCGTATTAAAATCTCGTATCGAAACGTTTAATCAATATATGATTGTGGAATAATAGTTTGAATCTATCTGATCAACACTTATTAAAAAAAAGAACCAAGTTATATAAAAGAGAAAATTTAAAGAAAACTTGTCTCTTTTTTTTTTCCTGTTCCTAGCTTAGCTGCAGAAATTACCTTGCCTATAAATCTCCATCTATGTCGTCTGTCTTTAGTGCTCATCATCATTATTCATAATATCACTGTGTACAAAAAATTACTAATTTTTTAACCCGTTTTGTAAAGCTTATTTTCTAAATTGTTTAACTTCTTTTCAGCTACTGTTTTCAGATTTTTACAAGCTTTCTCTGTCAAAAGTAACGTGAAGAAAATTTTGACGACAAAAAGCTCCAATACTTTACGTCCGCTTCATGGAATTCGATTCATATCTACGATATGGGTGGTGCTGGGTCATACTTTGTTCTACATTTCCTATCAACTATTCAGTAAGTTCAATATTGAACTGTTTCTGAACATTCGCAGTAAAATGTTTAGTTTTACGCTCTTATTTACCCTAAGTTGGCGATAGTTACAAAAATATTAGTCATAACCAAAAAAATATTTTTGAATCTTACATAACATTTTGCAAAAAAAAAAGAAACAACTAAAATGAGAACATTCTTCAGAAAAGAAATATATACATTTATTTTTAAAGGACCCTCCACTAACCAGCTATATGTTGAATACATTTTACGTTTTACTGATAAAATAGTAATTTCTATTCTGTGCAGTTCTTTTAGCAAATCATTAAAATTAAAATTTCAAACAATCGTCGTGTATTTTTTCAATATTGTTTAATTTTTCACGTCACTAAATTATTGTGAAATATTCTTACCATTGAGTGAATCTCTCTCCAATTCATCCACGTCCCACCAAACATGCTCGCCCTTTCAGCCGTGGGGGCGTTATAATGTGACGGTCAATCCCACTATTCGTTGGTAAAAGAGTAGCCCAAGAGTTGGCGGTTGGTGGTGATGACTAGCTGCCTTCCCTTTAGTCTTACACTGCTAAATTAGGGACGGCTAGCGCAGATAGCCCTCGTGTAGCTTTGCGCGAAATTCAAAACAAACAACTCTCCAGTTCCCCGTTCTGGCATTAAAAGCTCCATAGGTAATAATGTTGTTGATAATTAAATAACCCCCCCCCCCCACACACACACACGAAACATTACTTAGACTATTACACTTAGGTTTAGTAGTTACTGAAATAGTTAATAGCAACAAGTGGTAAGTATGCAATGTATATTATACCTAGTGTGGTGAAATAGAGTGCATTATAATCTCATAATGTGCAACAAGTGGTATGTATGAAGTGTATTTTATACCTAGTGTGGTGAAATATAGTGCATTATAATATCATAATGTGCAACAAGTGGTATGTATGAAATGTATTTTATACCTAGTGTGGTGAAATATAATGCATTATAATCTCATAATGTGCAACAAGTGGTATGTATGAAATGTATTTTATACCTAGTGTGGTGAAATATAGTGCATTATAATATCATAATGTTACGTATTGGCGGATAAACGTTTTAGTGAACATTCTTATCATATCTATTTGCTTTAAATGAAGACAAGAAAGTATCTATACGTTAGAGATACGTAACATTTTCATATAAAATCACCTATATATTTATATGAAATGCACACTCTACTTAAAAATACATATTAAACTATTTCATTTTTAAATGTACCTATGCAATTTGATATTTTTGCTTAACTGGATACGTTTTATAATATAACTAAAATTTATAGAAATGTTCCCATGTTTCTTATAGACGAAGTATTCAGAGCAAGGATGCTAGTGAGCTCAGTTCTAGCCCAACCTCTTAAACACGGCACAGTTGTGATGGATACTTTTTTCGCTCTGAGGTAATTTTCTTTGGTGTCAGTTATATTTTTACACTTTCCACTATGAGTTTTTTTTATAAACATTTTGAAAATATTGATATATATATATATATATCTTCTTCTCTGATAGTTTTTAATCTCAAAACTTCAGATACAAAACACCATTAAATATTCAAATTCGATGACGAGGAACCCACTTTGAGACTAATAATGGTATTATTTACCATTCAAGCCGTCTCCAACCATTACCATTAAATATTTTTCTTCTCTGTGGCCTTTGTGCACTAGCATGTCTAAAGTCCCCGACATTGAAGCACTCTATAAAATCGTCTAGATTGTTTGTTGGTTTTTTTTTAGAGCAAAGCCACATTGAGATATCTTCTGTGTCCACCGGGGGGACAACTGTCTAGCAAAATAAAACTTCAGATTTTCTCGTCTGTGGGACAAGTTGGTAATTTTTTTTAAGCAGTACTAAGCTGTGGATGATCAATGTCTTTGCATTGTTTGTGAAATTTTCAATATAGCTCCTTTTTTTCACGCTTAAATAATGTATTCTTGTTATGTTTGAAGTCTGATTGCATCAATTAATTTATTACATATTTCATGTTTCTGGGAATCAAATCTCCGTCTGATTTCCTATAAACTATACAGGCAATAAAACTCTTTATTCTTATTTCACACACACACACAAATGATTGGAAGCAAATTTTAAATAACTATTGAAAGAGTAACGAACTGTGTTTCTGGGCATATAGTCTTTAAAATTTATGAGTTTTCTTTCTATATATAAAAATTAGTGGTGTATGTTTGTCTGTCTGGTGTCGTTACGTCACAGTTTCGTGTAAGGAAATGACTGTATCAGTTACAATAAGATTTTATTTGGTACACTTACTCCAATGAACTCCCCAAAGATTGGGTTTAAATGCATGGCGAAATACGCATACACACAACCTACCCACGTGAAGTCAACGAGAAAATATATGACGCAGGAGGTGCGAGTTTATTTACAGGTTGTTGCTACTTTTTCACTTACGTACACAGCGTGGTC